TATAAACCAAATGGACTCTTATCAATTTTTTTTATACCATCCAAGCATCCACCCGAAGCTTAGGGGTTGAATTCTTTCCCTTGGCCTCACGTCCAGACTTCCACTGTACTTTGGATCATTCATTTTTCTTTTCACTAGCTACAAGTAATATTGCAGAGAGAATTACTTCAACATTTATTCAATAATAATGCCTGTTTATTTTTAAATGGATGCTGTAGAGAATTCTTGGTTCAAACCACATTTGCTACAAAAGTATCGTAACGCCACACTAAAACAATGAAATCAAAGCTTGTTATGACTCATTTTAAATTAGATAAATAACATTTTAATGGAACCACCATAATACATTAGGGATGGCAATTTTCCCTATCCCCAGTGGGGACTCAACTTCCTCGATCCAATGGAATCGGGGATGGGGATTGTTTAGGCGGGGCAGAGACGGGGACGGGGATTAAATAATCCCCGGTCGGGGTTGGGGTCGAGGATGGGGATTGAGGTCTCCGCCCTACCCCGACCCTGATTATGTGTATATATATACACATAATCAGGGTATATATTATTTATTTTAAGTAAACTTATTTTATATAAAATATATTTAAAAAATTATTTATAATTTAAAATATTTATTTATTTTAAGTAAATTTATTTTTCAAATAAACACTATTATATATAAAAAATTGCGGGGATCTGGGATGGAGGACAAAATTTATCTCCGACGGGGATCGGGGATGGGGATGGAGGTTATTTTTATAATCGGGGTCGGGGATGGGGATTATGATCCCCGCCTCAAACCTGTCCCATTGCCATTTCTACAATACATCCAACGCCATGATTCTAAGTTTTGAGAAAGGCTTCGGTCAGTGCAATGCCCATTTGAACAGTCTTTACAGACTTGCATCAATAATATCTCCATACTTATATAATTTATTTCGTTGGGAGATATTCCCAATGCAAAGTTACACTGACCGGTGCAGAACTCCTAGGTTTTTTAACTCTACATACAATATTAGACACCTTTTCTTTTCTGTCCCAGTGCAATTGAGCACTTGGTAGCTTCACAAAACTCCTACAATCTATTACGTTTATAGAAGAAAGCAAGTATAATCACTTTTACTAAAGAGTAATTGAGTTCATTTATCATTACCTCGAAAAGGAAGGAAAGTTTTGGTAAATTGAAATTGTTAAAAGGGGTTTAATAATTAGTTAAAACCCACAGCGGCAAAGGGAAATGATCCCATTTGCCACCAAACACCCTTCAATTTTTCTCGTCTACTTATTAGCTTTTCCCAAATAAAAATATAACAAGATAAGAATTAGTTAAAAGCTAAAACCCTGTAGATAAATGATGTAAGATATTATTCGTGCCTTGCATTTGTGTGACATCAGATGGACGTTGGTCCCACGCAAGGTTGCAAAATCATCAATAGAATATGATCATAATCTCAATTATGACTTGTGTTTTTTTGCTTTATTCTTATTTAATTTATGGGCTTCTTGCATTGGCCCATCTACGGATGCAGCCTTTCTTGAAGGAGGAATCTAGCTATACTACTTCAATATTCCTTCCTCGGTCTATGTTGTAATAAAATGGTGTTTGTTTGATTGAAAAAGAATAATTAAAAGTTCAGCATTCTGTTACTTAACACAAGGGAGGATTTTTCACTTTCCACCAAACGAAGATTTTGAACTTATTGAACCATATTGAGAATGAAAAAATAAATAAATAAATGAAGAAAAGAAGGGAAAAGAGACGATTTACATGGATCGTCATTGAAGCCTACACCCATGATAATGAGTAATTCTATGACTCAACATGTTTTTTTTTTTTTCATTCAATACAGCCATAATGATAAACTTATATAAGAAACCCTAAGAGAGAAAACTAACCCAAATCACAAAACACTCATGGGTCGCAATAACGGACAAAACCCGCCCAAAAACTAGGGGTATGGAAGGTTTGGTTCATGGGAATAGGGATGGGTCACTTCGATTCCACCTTTTTGATTGGGCATAATCGATCAGAATACTATTCATTAGAATTCTATTCCCATTCCTAGTGGAATGAATAGTATTCTCCCAGTTGAGGAAATGATCATTCCCTCTCCCACCGTAGGGAATGAAATTTCACTCCAGTTGATTTTAATTCTCATTCCAACTTCTGTTTGAACCAAACAGACTGTAAGAATAGAACATTCCGATTCTAATTCCAAAGGATTTCAATTCCAATTCCTATTCCTATTCTGATGTATACCAAACAGACCCTATGGGTTGTAGAATGTAGGGTAGGTCACATCTTGGTCATAAAAGGATATGCAAGAGATGGCTAAGTAAAAGCCTACATTTTAGTGCTCCAGCCAAACGTGTCGGACCCAATGGACTTCAGTATCCCAGTCCACGTTAGTCCTGTTAGTCCTACACCCAAATTTGTAGGATATTGTACCCCATACAGGATAAAATTCTTTTGTCCAGACCCATTTCTACCATTGACCATAGCAACAACTCTGGTCCTTTCGGTGAAAACAGAATGCACACTAGAAACAGTGAAGTGACATTTCATGGCGTTGCTCAATAACTACAACAGTACCTCTACCTGCTAATTAGAGTGACAAAAACATCCACTGTTTCAATTCCAAATTTGTGTCTTCTTTAGTAGTAGAACTAGAATCAAAGTTGTTGCACTGGACATTAATGGTGCCGATTATCCAAACAATAAAAAGTTAATTATCCTCTCTGTAGTTGAAAGTTGAAACTATGACTTGTTAACAGAGAAAATGTATGGTTGAGGGTCCATGAATGGTTGGTTGATAAATTATCCCATTGCCTCTAGCTTTTAGTGTTACTTGTTGTCATCTTAACCACACATTGTTCTGTGAGTTGTCACTGCCCATTTATAAGTAGGGTGTCAGTTTGGTCCAATCCAATCCGGCCCAGTATGATCCAATCCGATAGAAATCCATTACAGATGAATTATGTCTAATCCAATTCAGTAAACACTTTGGACCATCAAGTCTGGAATGGTCCAATTCAATAGTTCTTATTGATCCATCCAATTCATCCAAATTTATTTTGATTTAAATGGACTCCAACCCAAAACCGATCATTTACTCCTCTTACTGAATTTCCATACCTTAATGGCGATTATTGAACTCCATACTTAAAAAGCTTTCAAGTAAAAGAAATGAACTAATTCCAAAAAGTATATAAGAACTTATTCCTGCCTCGGCTTTGTCTCCGGAGTACTGATGATTGGTCAGTAGCACAGCACTCGCATGGAAAAAGGCTGTGACTGTGAGCCCCCGTGTTTATCATTCATTGTTGGCTTAAAATTCGGACAGCAAAAGTATGGAAATTCATAAAAAAACTAATTTATCCCGCATTTCTCTTGTGAAGCAGTAACAGATTTTTCTTCAGAAAAATAAAAAAGGAACAGAAGGACCCAATTACTGAGTGACAAAACTCTCCTCCCTAAAGATTCCATAGCACAACCAATACTAGCTACTGCTTCGATTTTTCTGTTTTTTAAACCGCACGGCCCACCCCCAACAAACCCAAATGGGGTAGGATGGCAATTTTCTCCATTTCTCTCATCCTGGTGAGGATTCACTCCAAATGGGGTAGAATGGGGATGATTTTCCCCTCGTGGGATGGGGATGGGGGAATTTCATCCCCGTTAACGGGGATGGGGAGAGCACTCCCCGCCCCGTGGGATCCCCATTGATATATATGTATATATGCACATATAAATCTATATATTAATATTTTAAAAAATATGATTGATTATGTTTGAATCTTTTCGAATAGGATTGTAAATTTTAATTATTTTATTTTTTATTTTTTAAATAAAATAAAAAACAAAAATAGTTAACATTATAAAAAAAATCATGAAGAATGGGAATCCCCGTGGGGACAGGGACGGGAATAACCTTGTCCCTATTAACGAGGACGGTGATAGGGATTTTTACAGGAATGGGGATGGGGAGAGGCTCCCCGCCCCACCCCGCCACAAGCTATCTCACTAACACACTAAGGATATAGAATTATTCTCCAAAATTTGTTAAATTGTGGAGATTATGTCCTCTGTTCTCTTACAACGCCATTAGGAGAGAATTAGATTGAAAAAGTGGTAGTGTTTATTACAATGGCATTGCATTGCTGTTGTGTTTTGGGTTGATCAATTAATGCAAATTTGTGTGTGTGTGAGAGAGAGAGATTTTTAGTTGAAATTATTTTGAATTGATCAATACCAATTTCTATTTCTATCTAAAACGTCAAATTTTGATGTTTCTCACAAATATGCATTTTTCTAATTGAAATTATATTCACATACATTATAAACAATACATATTTCTCATAAATTTGTATCATTCAATCCAATTATCCAAAACGCAACGGTAACACAATGCCACTCTAACCAAACACCACCTAATTAAAACACCTAAAACTAAATAAGTTTCATTAATGCTGACACAATATTGAATATTCTACCGTTATATACTTCATTACCCAAGGTTTTGCTACAACACCCAACATAAGAGCAATACATATTTGTAGGATTTCACTAATTCTCTCCATTTCATACCATTCAATCCTTCTATCATGGTCATCATCTGGTTCCCATGCTCTAGCCATTTCTTCACCTTCTCACGGTTAACCTGAATTGAGTTTGTTCCAGTCTCTTGATATATGACACAACCTGCATTCCTATCATTAGTGGATTTTATAAGGGTATTAATCTTATGTAGAATTGTTATTATAAATAAAATGGGGTATAAAAAGTAAAAACTAGAAAGAAAGAAAGAAGGAGAAAATAAAGCAAGGGAAAGGCAAGAGACTTTTCTTTTAATGGAACTTTTTGTCAAAAGTCAAATAGGTCCTCTTTCATCAACTCATAATAATACCTTCACCGCCGAAGCAGAGGCCAGAGGAGAAAAGATTTGCACCCAAGATTCATCATCATTGCGTGGCATTTTTGGGGCGCCTAAAAGAAAGCCTATGGGAATGCTAATTTTCACTTCTTGTGATATCTCTCCCTCCCATTATTATGTACTCATCTGAACTCCAGGAATCATAACCATCTTTTATTCTCTCTCTCTCTCTCTGTACGTATATAGATACTGTAGAGAGTAGAAACCATGTATAGTTATTTTTATTATCATCATTTCTTTCCTGTTGTCGAAGTCATTACATTTAAATGGTAAGAAGGGAAAGTTTTTGGTTGTTTCCTCGTAGAAATATGGTTTTTTGTTATTTTTTTCATGTAAACCTGAGAGAGATACAGGAAGGTTGTTCTTTTTTTTAAGACGAACCCAAGTCTACTCTCTCTTTCTTCCTCTACAAAATACAATCCCAACCATTTAGAAGAAGAGATAATCGCGAGAGAGGAAGAGAGAAGCATGTTCTCTACGTCTCAAACTATGCTTAACCAGGGTTTGTTTGAAGATCAAGAGATGCCATCACAGATGGGGTTCTACTCTTCTCCCAACTGGAGCTTTTCTCCATTTGGGTTTCACCAATCTTCGAGACCCCTCAACAACAACCACCCTACATCACCAGGAGAAAACGATACTTGTCATCTCCCTGAAGGCCTCTCTTCTAGAGCTTTAAAGCACAAAGATATTGCCTCTTTCGGTGAATTCGAATCTTCTTCGGTGCAAAGATCGGCTAATAATCTCTGGTAATTAATTAAACTGTATTTTTTTATGATACGCCAGAGAGTTGGTATTTTTTTTTTATTTTGATGCAAGAACAAAACGGCGAAAGCCAAGAGTCCAAACAAAAACATAGTTTTGAGTATGATTATTTCACACTCGACGCAATTCATGAATTCTTTATCATTATGAAGAAATTATCTAAACGTTCAAAATGAACTCCTTCCAAAATTTTCATGCAGAAATGAGGAAACTGCTCTCTCTCTCTCTCTCTCTCTCTCTCTCTCTCTCTGATGTGAGTTTGGGTTTGGACTTTGATTGATTCAGGCCATGGAGAGAAGTAAACGAGTGTTTGGGGAGTAAAAGATATGGAGAAGACCCCCTGGGTGTCGCTGCAATGAAGATGAAGAAGGTGAAGGCAAGAAGGAAGGTGAGGGAGCCCAGGTTTTGCTTCAAAACCATGAGCGACGTGGATGTCTTGGACGATGGTTACAAATGGAGGAAGTATGGCCAAAAAGTAGTGAAGAACACGCAGCATCCAAGGTACCGCATAAATTATGTTCAGTTTCACTTCTATTGTTTCATCTTGTAATCTCGCACAACTGCACATACCCTTTACTCTCTCTCAGACACACACACACACACACAAAATCAACCAGGGTTCTAAGTAGTTAATTTTACTTTTGATTAAGGAGTTGTGCTGCCTAGACATGTTATATATACGAGTTGATTCTGCAAACAAGAAGGGGTAGAGGCTCATCTATGGAAATTTCTGAGACAACAGTTGAACTCCAGTAGTTTTCTGGAGGATTTCATCATTATAATCATAAGTAATGCCTAAAAGACTCTCTGTTTAACTCGTAAAGACATGATATAAAGGCAAGAAATATGAATAGCTTTTTAAAACCAAACAAAATAACTTTTGAGGTTTTGGACAGATCTAGCACTTAGCAGTTAGCATCTTTGGAAGAACTTCACAATACCAACAAAACTTAATGATGCATGGAAGCTATTTACTCCCGTGGATCTAAGAATCGATGTGGTCTCGGCCCTATGTGAACTCGATTGCAAGAGTCTTTTATGGAATTCTTCTCCATCTCTAATCCTGCTTTCTCGTTCTTCCATGCTTAACTGTCTGATCAACGTCGGAGTTATCATTTGTACATTGTGTTGTGGTTTTCTTTCCGTCGCCTGGATTCCAGCGTACGGGGAGAGTATGATAGCTGTAAATTTGAGGGGGGCAAACAGGCTAGCAGCCGAGCACGTTTTCACGGTTCCTTTAACCCAACAAGGGTGGGTCTGTCAGCTGGGATTGCCTCTCTAGTCTCTATAGGGTAGCCAAATGGGTCACTGTTTTGTTGACATGACAATCTCTTTAGGGTACCCTCTAAAGAAAGTAGTAGTTATTCCTTGCACAGTCTATTCTTGAGCTGCTCATTGGGGCATTCTGTAGCAATAGAAATGCCTTTTTGGCCTAGTGATTTTGAGGCCATTGGGATGGAAACCCTTTTTCATCAGGTTCATGTGGATGCCCCAAACTCAGAGGTTTCTATAGAACTGATCTGCTACTGCTAGGCCATTAATCATTTGAAGCAATAATTCATTGGAACCTCTGTTAGAAATTGGGAGTTGTTGGAACTGATTAGGTTCATAATTCTGGCCTGGCTCAACTGGAAGACTAGTATATATATATATATATATATATTAAGAACTGAAAGGGAAGCTATGAGTGAGAAACCCTAGAAGGCTAGACGGTAAAGAAAATATATACAGTTGACATGATGGATTAACAAATTGGTGGACTACTGCAGAGGAAAACCATTAACAGCACTGAAGAAATTTGTTAGCTTTGATTCGAATTATGGAATTGCCAATGTTCTACGTTATTATAATATTTAGGTTGACAGAGATAATGATACGAAAGTATATATATATCTGAGAAGTACACGATTCTTCATAGAAAGATTAACAAGTAAAAATGTAAGCTCATTAAGGAAAAAAAATGTAAGCTTACTAAGGGGGTGTTTGGTGGAGTGTATATCCCGGTTCAAGGTAAATTTCTACTCTGGTTCACTTTTGCCCGGGTTTGGCAATATTACATTCTATTCATTTTCTAATGCATATTTATATTGATAATAAGATGTAAAAGTATATCAATAAAAAAATAAGTAAATTTGCATTCAAATGGACTTTTTATTAAAAAAAAAAAGCATATGCTTTATTGGAATTATGTAAGAAATATGTGTTGCCCATTGTATATAAGTATGTCATTTTTACTAGAAAAATGTGTACATGTGAGAAACATCAAATATGATGTTTTAGGGTAAAAAAACATAACAATCTGTATTGATTAACTCAAAAACGTTTTCAAAATATTTCAATAAAAAAAAAAAGAATGTCTCACAAATTAATTTGTACTAATCAATCCAAAATTCAATGACAACAAAACTCCTCCATACCAAACACCTCCTAGAAATAATCTAAAGCAGAATGTAGTCTTTCAAGTTTAGCTCTTTGTATCATCCAACCATATAACTGCAGACTAATCCTTTTGAGTTGCGAGGATAAGATGGATTCAAAGATTTCTTGTGATGGGTGGAGCCTTTAATCCCCTAATTCCCTTGCAACATTATTTTCCTTCTAATATAATAATTTGTCTATTCTGATATTGTCGTGTTGGTCATTTTGATATTCATCTGCGCCCAAATTAATTTGATAATTTCTACTCATAATCATGTCTCGACTAATTTGTATGCAGAAGCTACTACCGTTGTACACAGGACAACTGCCGTGTAAAGAAACGAGTGGAGCGATTAGCAGAGGACCCACGGATGGTGATCACAACCTATGAAGGAAGACACGTACATTCTCCATCGCATGATCTTGATCAGAGCTCACAAGCCCCACCCCAAATTAACAACTTCTTCTGGTAATACAGTTAATCAGTTATATATTGTTTTATGTACAAGTGTTGTCTCTCTCTCTCTCTCCTTCCTATGGCTTGCATCCATTTTCATTATTGTAGAATAAGGATTCCCTTGTGTTAATTAAATGCCTCCGTTGGGCTTCCAATCTGCTGATACCATATAAATAAATAGGAGGTGGAAGTGTAGGTCGATCTGTATTTTGTTTGTGACAGCTTTTGTTTTTGTTTGTTTTGTTTACTAAGTTCCTTTGTATTTATGCATGATGAAGTGAAGAAGATATGATATTCTCAAGTTTATCAATCAATGCCACTAGCTAGAGATGGTCAAGTACGTATATTCACTATTCAGCCTTATCTCTCCTTCACATATATGGCAAGTTTCAAATTGGCATCATACCCTAAGGCTATATTTGGTTTGAAGGAAAAGATAGGGAAAGACATTTTGTAAATGTTTTCTTACCTTTTTTCTTCCTTGCCCTACTTTTTTCTTCAAAAAAAACATAGCCATAGGGTGTCAAAGGACCGGATGTGGGTTGGATCCATCTAAATCAAAATCAATTTGGGTAGATTACATGGACCAATGAGACATTGTATTAGACCAATTCAGATTTAATGGTCCAAAGTAGTTTATTCAATTGGGTCGGATTTAACCATCTAATTTATTGATAGAAGATAAAAATACAGGTGTTAATGGATTAGGTATGGGGGTTGGAAGATGGAACTGATCTAAATTAAAACCAATTTAAACGGAATACTGGACAATACAGGCATTGAATTGGACCAGTCCAAAGTATTCACCGGATTGGATTGGACCTTGTACATCTGTAATGGACAATGTTTTAAAAAATGACCCGGAATCGGAACTGTTCTGGCCATCGATTTTCAGGTTGATGGTTCGACCATCTGATCCGAACAGATGCTCATTCTGACAAAAATAATTAAAATAAAAAATGGCCAAAAACCGTTGAACGAATTGGCGGTTAGATTGCCCGAGTCAACGGGTTGTTGACCAATTTAACGGTTTTTGGTCAAGGACTAGGTTTAGGGTAAAATGGAACCAGTTGTCTGGACGGTTCTAGGATTGAACAGCCCGACCGTCCAGGTCAATAGCAATTCGAAAACCATGGTAATGGATTCATATTGAACCGGATTGGATTGGGCCAAATTCAGTCCAATTGACACCCCTACCATTCCCCATGCATAGTTGCCCTCTTCTCATGAAGGGACCTTATCTGAAGCCATTGGATTGGCATCTTAACCAAGGCTCAAAGTATTGATATTTTTTACATGAAAAAAAATTGTGCATCTAAAAATTTTGATCAATCAAAACTCTATTTTTTATTATATTAATTGGATAATTTATCGACATATGACCTCTTTTATTGTTTAAAATCATTAAAATATACCCAAAGTCTAAATATGTTGCATATCATTGGCCATGAAAATTAATTGATATGTATGGTACGATACGATACACGTTGATATATTACATGACCCCTGTGTGCAGCAGGAAATGAAGCGCCCCTGAATGTAGGGTGTCATTTGGACTGGATTTAGTCCAATCTGATCGATCCAATATGAATCCATTACATTTGGATCAGGTCCAATCTAATCTAATAAATATTTGGGACCATTTTGGGTTAATCCAATTTAATGTCTGGATCATTCAATCTATTCAAATTGAGATTAATTTAAATTTATTCCAACCTAAATCTGATTCATCTACACTTGTATTCTTATCTTCTATCAATGGTCCAATCCAATCGATCCAATCTAATATAAATCCACTACTGACACTCCTACTTGAATGGGTGACCTAACACAATCGTTGGATTAACCCAAAAATAAAACAAGGTACAACATGAATCATACAGTGTCATTAGGAGGGTAGGAACTAGGAAGCTACTTAGATTGAAATCATTCTATTCAGTCTTCCATTGAAATGTATTTAGGGATGTCCATCCAAGTCTTAATGAGTTGCAGGATTTTCAGAATATGGAGAAGTGCAACTCCCAGTGGGGGATCCAAATGCTAGAAAAATGAAATTATTCTAAATCCAGGTGGCTTTCATACATATCCCTGATGAGCAGATAAAGCCATAAATAGGGCAAATAGTTGAATCAGATCATAGGAGAGATTGGGTAGTGGGTACATTGACCAAACTGACAAAAACATTATTAGATCAAGCATGACTGCAACAAACTAGAAACTGGCAACAATGGACCTTGCTGACAAAAGGGTGTGAATGTGATCTGCAGAAGACCTCACTGAATCACCCGATGCAATGCAGATTTCACATGATAAAAGATAAAAGCTTCCATGGACAGAAGCGCCGTGCACAAGACGAGTGGAGAGGGTCCCCTTCACGTTACCCTCCGGCTTGCCCTCTGCACAAAGCGGATCAATACTGAAGACTGTGCCCACTGAGTAGAATTAAAAAGTAACTTTCCTAATCTTTAATCTATAAATGCCTCATACTTTGTCTTGGCCTCGCATGCCAATTCCAAAACTTCAAGCTTCAGTCCATTTATTTTTCTCTCTCCACTATTTCTTCTCTTCCCTCCCTCCTGCACCTGCTACTCAATTCATTCTTTTTAAAGGGTAAATTAGAAAGATCCTGTATTATAGGGTATGTGACAAAGACCCCTTCCGTTAATCGTCCGTCCAACGATTTTAATCTCCATACTTATGATAATTATTCGATAATTTTACCCTTCTTTAATTTTCTTTTTTATACATTGTCTTAACTTTTTCTTTATTTCTCCCTCGGGATCAAGTTTCAGTGGTAAGGGATTTTCCCTGGCGGTTTGAATAACCTCCCTACTTAAAAATTTTCAAAAATCAAAAATGCATATGCAAATGTGATCCTATAAACATTAAGTGTCTGTTTGGCATCATTGTTGTTGCTCCAGAAAACGGTGCCATATCAGTGTCATGTAAAAAAAAACGGTGCTCCAGAAAACGGGCATTTATTTGGAACTGTTTTTCTATAAAAAACAGTGCTCCAAGCCACGCCTTGGAAATCGGGAAGGCATGGCTTGGAGCAACGCTGAATTTGACGTTTTTTGGAACTGCAGCTCGTTGTTGCCAACACGGATGTAAGCAAGGGTGGAGCCAAGAATTTTTTATGGGGGGAGCCAAAACTTATGGATGAATCACAGGGGAGCCAACCATTGGGTGAAAAGTGAGGGGAGGAAACAAACTGACATAGAAAAACTGCATTGAGTGTGTAAATTTCTGGACCATAGGGGGGGGGGGACATGGCTCCCCTAGGTCCCCCCTATCTCCGCCCCTGGATGTGAGGTGGCAGTGATGTAGCACTGGATAATGGGTGCTAGTGTTGAAAACGTTTTCTGGAGCATTGGTACTAAACAGAAAAAGCTGTTGTTGCTCTAAGAAATGTCATACTTGGCAATAACGATTCTAAACAAACAAACAAAAAAACACCATTTTTTGAGAAAACGGTGCTTCCAACCCACACATCAGCAGCACCGTTTTCTCTGAAAACAATGTTGTATCCACAACATCGATGCCAAACATATACTAAATGGAAAACAAAACCAACAGGAACGTGTCCAAATTGCAACCACGTGATAGATAACAATGATGTATGGTTCCTTAACTTTCATGGGTTTTCCCTTCTTCTATGTGGACAACAAGACTCTAGTTAGTGATTTTGGTGTTTTTCCTTTCTGATAATTGCCACTTTATTTCTTCCTTCTCTCTTTTCTAGGGGAGGGGAAGTTGGTACTAAATGGCTCCATTACATCTGATAGCGAAGATAACCTAGAGTTTAGCAAAGGTTATTTACTGTTAAAAATCAAGTTAAAACAAAGATTCAAACCTCTGAGTAATTAAAGCCACAATAAAGCAATTCAGAATTCTACTTTTATAACTAATTCAACTTAAGTTCCAAAAACATGAATAATCCAGCAAGAAAACTTTATACAAGAAACAAAGATTCAAACCTCTAATTATTTATTACTGTTTACTGTAATTTACTGTTAAATTATAGCCAAAACTCTGATTACTTATTTCGATGGCCTTATGGTGATTAGTGAAATTGCAGCAGTCATAACATCTAGGACAATGTTTCAATTTAGATCCTACCAAATAGTAATCAGAGTTTTGGGAAAATAGAACTACAACACCTCCATTGGGATTTAACGCCATCTATCTACAAATAAAAAAGCCCATTCCCGCAAGAGGTATCAGAGCAACTTTCACTTTTGCAGTGCTGGCATAAGCATTCAACTGTATTGCTACTTAAAAGACTCAATTACTGTGTCGAAACATATTAGATACATTATATTGACTAGTGACAGCGAAAAAAATAAGTTTTCTTCCCCTGCGATGGCAAAAAGAGGTCTTCTTCTCAGGTGATGGCAGAAAGAGATCTTCTTCTTCGGCCACAGTGATACAATTTTTCTTCCCCAACAACAATCTGATATTTCGCTTTGTTTCTTTTATGTTCGGTGTGATATTGGTGCAAACTCCGGCGGAGATTGGACTCAGAGGAACTGGGATAAATTACATGAGGGTTTTCGGTTGGGTTTCAAGTAGCATTTAGGTCAAAAGTGAAAATCTATTCGAAAACAGTGAATAAAGGGTGAGGTGTCTATTTTCGTCATTTTGAAAATATTTATTTGATTGTGCAGAATGTATTTTCATCAAATGACCCCTTCCATTAGCTGAATTAATGGAGAAGGGGACTTTTATCTCAGAGCTATAGTACAGGGGGGTCTTTATCACAAACCCCACATTACAGAGGGTTCTTTGTAATTTATCCAAAAAAAGAAAGGATATAGTCCATGGTGAAAATGTTCCCAATGTATAAGGATATTTCCATGATTTCACCATGGCCAGCTGATGTCTTTTCTTTTACTAGAGCATTTGACAGTGAATTGATAGGACAGAGGCATAGGTTGTGAAAGCAGAATGTGGAAAGATTCTAACCATGGCAGGCAGTTATTAAAGAGGATTCTGAGCTCCTTAAATGACTGACCAACTCTTGAATGCTTCATTTAATTCAATCACCACTATTATCAAGCAGCCCCTTAATCTTGTATTGCTGTGATGTCGAATTTCATTATTAAATTTGAAACCTTTTCAGCACTCGACTTTTAGTCCTTGTTTCATCAGTTATCAAATGAGGCTGGGGGGTTGGCCAGATAGGTAGGTCCAGGCCAGACCGTTCACTCCCCAGTCAATTGCAGGTTTCAATGCCTAGGGTGTGTGTGTTGGGGGACCCAATTGAATGTTGTTTTAGTCACTGTTTTCAAAATATGATCGGACCGGAAAATTT